GGCTCAAGTGGTAGAGCGCTAGCCTTGAGCTGAAGAGCTGAGGGACAGTGCCCAGGCCCAGAGTTCAGGCCCCATGACCGGACCCCCAAAAAAAAGAGTCTCCAGGACTTTCCTGCACTGGCTGGCTTTGAACCTTATCCTCAGATCTCAGTCTCCTGAGTAGCTAGGATTACAGGTGTGAACCACTAGCACCCAGCTTAGACTAAGCTTTTCATAGATGCACTTGACTAGGTAGAAATTATGCTCTAAAATGGATAAAACTAAGGAAACCACGGTAAGGGAAATAAGTCAGACCAGAAAGACAAGAACTTTATGTCCTGTCATATGTGGAAACTTAAAAAAAAAAAAAAGGGCGGGTGCCACTGGCTCACACCTGTAATCCTAGCTACTCAAGAGGCTGAAATCTGAGGATCAATGTTCAAAGCCAGTCCAGGTAGGAAAGTCCGTGAGACTTATCTCCAATAAGTTAATCAGAAAAAGTGGAAGTGGCGCTGTAGCTCAAGTGGTAGAACACTAACCTTCAGCACAAAGAGACTCAGGGACAAGTGCCCAGGCCCAGAGGTCAAGCCCCAGGTCTAGCAAAAAAAAAAAAAAGGGCTGGCCTGAATGTGAAATAGTGATTATGAGAAGTTGAGAAGCAGAGGATGAATAAAGGGAAGCTAGACTTCATCCGTGCATGGCATAAGCATGCATTAAAATATCACATGGAATCCCATTACAATTCATGTATTACATATAATTAATACATATTTCTCAAAAATTTTAGGGCTGAGCATATAGCTTAGTGGTAGAGAGATAATTTGGTATGTACAGGGCTCAGGCTTTGATCTCTGATCTCCAGTGCAGCAAATTTAAAAAAAAAATTGGGTCCAGTTACTCAAGTCTGTAATGCTAGCTACATAGAAGCATAAATGGGGAAGATTGTGGTTTGAGAACAAACAGCCTGGGCAAAAAGTTTTTGAGACCCTACCACAACTAATAAAAAGCTGAGCAAGGCAGGACACATACATAAATAGATCATGGTCTAAGCCAGCTAGGGTATAAGCATGATCACAATTCTGTTTGAAAAATAAAAAAACAAAAAACAAATGGTAACAAGTGGTAGAATGGTAGAATACCTGCCTAGCATATGCAAAGTCCGAGTTCAAACCTCAGTACCACCACAAGGAAGGAAGGAAGGAAGGAAGGAAGGAAGAAGGAAAGGAAAGAAGGAAAGGAAGGAAGGAAGGAAGGAAGGAAAGAAAGAAGGAAGGGAGGGAGGGAGGGAGGGAGGGAGGGAGGGAGGGAAGAAAAGAGAGAAAGAAAAAGAAAGAGAGAGAGAGAAAGAAAGGAAGGAAGGAAGAAAGGGAGGAGGAAGGAAGGAAGGAAGGAAAGAAGGAAGGAAGGAAGGAAGGAAAGAAGGAAGGAAGGAAGGAAGGAAAGGATAGGAAAGGAAAGGAAAGGAAAGGAAAGGAAAGGAAAGGAAAGGAGAAAAGAAACTAATCAACCAAGGGAAGGCCTCTTACAGTTTATTTTATTGACAAGATGATATAACATTAAGTATATTATAAAATTAAAATATCACCACTTGAACACACTATGCTTCTAATTTCCACACATTGAATGTCTAAGGCAGTTACTCACATGCACTGTTGGAATTATTCAACCAAAAAAAGACTTTGTCAGGTGAAAAGCCCAAGGTGCCTAAGTGCTCCTAGCCCTCTCTGAGAGAAGAACATTTCTTGCCAGTGGGTGGCAAGGCCTGGCTACCGGCGTTGACTTCCTGTCTAAAGTTCAGGCCCCAGGACTGGACCAAAAATAAATAAAGAAAGAAAGATACTGAAATCTTAGAGTATACTAAAGATATTCATCTGCATATTGCTTATGTAAGGGAAGCCTCACCCCCTAGCATTCCCAAGTCCCAGGGGGAGGTAAACAATTCAGCTTAGCTAAGTGAGAAGTTCCTTTTAAGGCTGTTACCGAAGGACAGCTTTTAGGATTAATTTTTCAGATTCAGATTTTCAGTTTCTATTTAAAATCTTGATATGATCTACTTAAACATGGTGTAACAACTGGAAGTGTAGGTCAGCAATAGAACATTTACCTAGCAACCATAAGGCTCTGAGTTCAAACTGCCAAAAAAAAAAAAAGTGTGTGTGTGTGTGTGTGTGTGTGTGTGTGTTAAGTATATGGAATTGGATTTCTGGATTGAATGAGTCGTAGGAAAGGGAGTTATCAAGTAGAGAACAATCCAAAGGCTGTTTTCTCTGGGGGAAAACACTATTCTAGGCTTTTTTTTTTTCTTCGAATCCCACTGTGGCAGGTAATAGTGTGGATAGCTGGGCTGCAGCTCAGTGCTTGGCTCTGGAAGGTGTTGCAACTTACCCAGTGATCAAGAGGATCCTCCAAGAGCTGTTTAACAAGCGGAATGAGGAAACCGAAAACCAGGCTTGTATTCTACTAAGCCATCTCAGTAGAAAAACGGTATGTGCCCATTTAAAGGGTGAGAGAAAAAAATTACCAGTAGGAAATGAATGGGGGTTTTGCATTAAAGGAAACCAATAAAACAGGTGGTTAGCTCAGACAATGTCAAGCACAAGTGAAAGTGCACCAAGAATGGGTAAACCTGGATATAGAATGTATACAGGGAGATGTGACAACAGATGGCTGGGAAAAGTAAGAAAAGAGTTGAAAGTAGTTTTTTGGGGTTTTGTTTTTTTGGTTTTTTGCTGGTCATGGGCCTGAACTCAGGGCCTGGGCACTGTCCCTCAGCTCTTCAGCTCAAGGCTAGCACTCTACCATTTGAGCCACAGCACCACTTACTGCTTTTTCTTTTTGCTTATGTGGTGCTGAGGAATCGAACCCAGGGCCTCATGCATGCAAGGCAAGCACTCTATCACTGAGCTACTTTCCCAGCCCCAGTAGTTGGCTTTTTTTTTTTTTTTTTTTTGGCCAGTCCTGGCATTTGAGCCACAGCACCACTTCTGTTTATTGGTTTATTGGAGATAAGACTCTCATGGACTTTCCTGCCTGGGCTGAGCTTTGAACCATGATCCTCAGATCTCAGCCTCTTGAATAGCTTTTTACATTCACAGCTGGTGCTCTATCGCTTGACACCTGCCTCCACTTCTACCTTTTTGCTGGCTAACTGGAGATCAGAGTCTCTAGGTTTTGTCTTCCTGGGCTAATGTGATTGTTGGAACTGAGCCTCTTGAGTAGCTAGAATTGTAGGTATGATTCATTGGTGCTTGGTTCTTATGTGGTTTTCAATGGTTTCTCTCAAGAAACATATTCCAAATGTCACAACTCCTAAACTGTTAAAAACTGTTTGTAGCTGAGCACTTGTGCCTCAAACCTGTAATCCCAGCTACTCAGGAGACTGAGATCTAAGGATAGTGGTTCGAAGCCAGCCAGGGCAGGAAAGTCCATGAGACTCTTATTTCCAATCAACCACTCAAAACACTGGAAATGGCACTGTGGCTCAAATGATAGAGTGCTATCCTTTGAGCAAAAAGGAGCTGAGGTATAGCACCCAAACCCAGAGTTCAAGCCCATGACCAACAAAAAGAAAAAAAAAAAGACAAAGTATTAGGAAGAAAGGAAGGACGGAAGGAAGGAAAGATACCATATACCTACAATTATGCTACTTTTCAGTAGAAATGTCAAACTCACAAAGATTAAGGCATATACAACACATTTTATAGGCAAAAATAGTTACAATCTTATTGATTGAAGCCCTCATTTCCTGTTCAGATTATTAAATCTCTGTTTTGGTCCCTAGAGTCAACTGGGTTAGCTGGAGGTATACCTCACCTCTTGTAAACCAGTTTTTCAATAGGGATGATTATCTTATGACCTTAGGACACTATGTTGGATACCATGTTAGGATATAACTTCTTCAAGATTGCAGTATCTCTAAAAGTAAGCAACTATCCATACAAATCTGTTTCCTCAGACCCTGATACACACCATGCTTGCGGTAGAGCTGAACAGCAGTCAATGGAAGGACCGAATCGTTGCCTGCAGAGCTTTTGCCAGGATCAGTGGCAACGTTTGCTTAGTAAGCCTCTTCCTTTGCTGCCAGGACAGAAAACTTCAGCAGAACTTGGCTAGTTTGTCTTGCAACTTTTTGCTGCTACTTAATATCTCATTCTCAATAGACAGATCTCTAGTCTCACCTTGTTACCTCTTACTCATAATCCAGGATTATCTTCAAATATCACCACGTCCTGTGATTTAAGCCACTGCCATTTCAGTGTGATGGTAATCCATAAACTGTAAGGGAACCATAATAAAATAAGCACAAAAACTAAGACCAATATTAATAATTTTTTTAGCAATTTGACAGTACTTTAATAGCAATGGCATTATAAAGCATCAGTCAGTGATATATTTCTACCCTGTTTCATCCCTTAAACAAGTCCATCATCACTTTCTCAAGCACTGACATAAAAGAACCAACAACCCAACAAAATGGTTCTCTGAATGTTCAGTACACACATGTAAAATATAGTCCCTGCTTTTAAACAGCTGACATTGCAGTTTGAGCAACAATACTCGCAAACACCTGTCTTTTTTTTTTTTGGCCAGTCCTGGAGCTTGAACTCTGGGCATGGATTCCTAAGCTTCTTTTGCTCACAGCTAGCACTCTACCACTTGAGTCACAATGCCACTTCCAGCTTTAAAAAGTATGTGGGACTAAGGAATCGACCCAGGGCTTCATGCATGCTAAGCAAGCACCCTACCACCAAGCTACATTCCCAGCCCAATACTCACAAACACAAAAGTTGTAAGAACAAGCATTAAATGAAAGGTGCTCTCTTAAAACTCTTCAGAAAGATTAATGTGAACTAAACTTATCAATTAAAATTTTGTGGAGGGTGGCTGGCTACAGTTGAAGAGGGAATACTAGGCAAGGAAAGCACTAATCTCCTTTTTGCTATTACTTTCAAGCCCAAACGGAATCTTTCCCTTCTTTCTTTGTGCTACTGTATTTTTTCCCCCTTAAACAGATAATTTGGGTGTATCTGAAATGGCCCATAACATGACCATACCTACTAGAAGTACAACACCTTACCCTCTTTAATCCTCACATTCTACATATGGGGAAATACATAATCTGGCCATTCAATATCCCATGGAGAGGTGTGAGAGTTAATTCTGTCTCAAGTACTATATAGTATCCTGTAGCTAAAATCCTGGACCAGCAACAAAGCATCACCTGGGAACTTATTAGACTTGGAAAATGTCACTTTAGGCCAACCTAATCATCATCTGCATTTTAACATCTAGTTCACTTACATATTCACCTCTTTGGTACTTAATCACTCGGGATTTATTTCAAAGTAAATAGACATGAAGTACTAGCCATGAATGAGGCAAAGATCATGAGGACTTCATGACAGACGTTTGTATCTAGGCAGTATGTCTTGAGTTATTTTACTCATTCAATAAACAGTTTCTGGAGCCAGGAACCAGTGGTTCACACCTGTAATCCTAGCTACTCAGGAGATTGGTATCTGAGGATCAGGTTTCAAAGCCAGCACAGGCAGGAAAGTACATGAAACTCCTATCTCCAAATAACCACCAAAAAGCCAGAGGTATAGCTGTGGCTCAAGTGACAAAGCACTAGCCTTGAGCAGAAAACGCTAAGGGACAGAACCTAGTCCCTAAGTTCAAGTCCTACTACTAGCATAAAAAAAAATTATTTTTGTCATTCATGGAGCCTGAACTCTGGACCTGGGTGCTGTCCCTCAGCTCTTCAGCTCAAGGTGGGCACTCTACTACTTGAGCCACAGTGACACTTATGGCTTTTTCTGCTTATGTGGTGCTGAGGAATTGAACCCAGGGCCTCATGCATGCAAGGCAGGCACTTTACTACTGAGCCACCTTCACAGTCCCCCCAAAAATTTTAATGAATAAAAAAAGAAAGAAAAACAAAGTTTCTGACCATATCCTACACTGCTAAGCATTATGCTGGCACTAGTTGTGAAAAGATAATATATCTTACCTTGGTAAATGTTAAAAATAGGTATAACAAAGCAGCTATAGAGCATTATGGTTTTCTATATTTACTGGAAGCAAAAAAGATTTCAATAAGGAGATGTATTATAGATAAATCTTAAAGAATAAATATCTGGTATCAGGTAATGGTAAAGGACGATATTTCAGGCAGGGAGAATAGCTAATTTACATTTTATATGATCATCAACTGTAATCTTAGTAAACTTCCTATAAGACAAGCACACTGATAATCAATTTTCCTGGTTTGTCTAGGGTATGAGACTTTAAGAACTAGAATCAGGAGAATCAAACTGGTCACCACCCCATTAAGTATCACTTTCAAATTTTAAGTTTCTTCCATGGATTATATTGGTCCTGATGCTAAAGAGCAGTTTAAATGATGAACTTGGAAAAAGCCAGGACTCAAGTCCTAGTTCTAACACTCACCAGGTTAACCTTAGGCAAGTTAATTATCTGTAAATAGTAGTAACATTTGCTATATTGGATGGTTTGATGGAGAAAGGGGTTACAGGACAGCAATTATAAAATTAACATTTGCAAATGATAACTAATTATTACATCTGTTTATAGGATATGAAACATAAATTGATCCAGCTGATGTGGAATGACTGGAGTAAGGAAGTGAGGCAAGCAGCTGCTCAAGCCCTAGGACAAATGAGCCTTGGGAAAGAGGTGCATGACACAATCAGGTATGACCTAGGAGAAACTCTTCTAAGGAATGTTTAGTGGGAGCTGGGTGTGCTGAAGGCTCACATCTGTAATTCTAACTACCCAGTCAGTCCAGGCAGGAAAGTGCATGAGACTCTCATCTCTCTACTAAACTGCCAAAAAGTTGATGCTGTGGCTCAGGTGGCAGAGTTCTAGCCTTGAGCAAAAAGAATCTCAGGGACAGTGCTCAGGCCCTGAGTTCAAGCCCCAGGAATAGAAAGGAAAAAAAAAGAAGTATGAGTCATTTCTGATGAACACAGGCAAGATGATACACAAATGCCCAATTAAAAATATCAAATCAGCCAGGCTCACACCTATAATCCTACCTACTCAGGAGGCTCAGATCTAGAGGACCAAGGTTTGAAGCCAGCTGGAGCAGGAAAGTCTACAAGAGTGTAGCTCCAAAATATATAACCAGGAAAAAGCCAGATTGAAAGAATGGATCAAGTGGTAGAGTAGTAGCTGAACAAAGGTGAGACCTAAAGTTCAAAGACCAGTACTACCTGCACCCCCTCAAAAAATTTCAAATCAAGGGCTGGGATATATAGCTCAATGTCAAAGCACTTGCCTAGCAAGTACAATGTCCTGGATTTGATCCCCAGTACCAAAAAAGACAAAAAAGTTTAAAAATAAACAAAAAACCCTTTACCAGGTGCCCAGAGCTCATACTTGTAATCCTAGCTACTCAGGAGGCTGAGAACTGAAGATTATAGTTTGAAGCCAGCCTGGGCAGGAAAGTCCATGAGACTTTTATCTCAAATTAATTACCAAAAAGCCAGAAGTGGAACTATGGCTCAATTGATAGAACACTAGTCTTGAGCAAAGCTCAGGGACAGCACCCAGGCCCTGAGTTCAAGTCCCCAGGACCAGAAAAAAAATTAAAGTAAAACTGTAACAAATACTCATATACTATAACTGCTATAGAAATACTGAGTAAAATGTGAGTTAGAGGAGTAAGGCCAAGTCTCATAGAGACTGTAGTCACTCCAGGCTGTGTGAAAACTGCCAAAATAAGAATCACACAGTGGGGGCTGGGAAGGTGGCTCAGTGGTAGAGCACTTGCCTTGCATGTATGAGGCCCTGGATTTGATTCTTCATAAGCAAAAAGAAAAAAGCTGGAAGTGGTGCCGTGGTTCAAGTGGTAGAGTGCTAGCCTTGAGCTGAAGACCTGAGGGACAGCACCCAGGCCCAGAGTTCAGGCCCCAGGACCGGACCCCCCCCCCAAAAAAAAAGAATCACACAGTGCTGGGTGCTGGTGGCTCACATCTAAGGATGCTGAAATCTGAGAGTTGCTGTTCAAAGCAAGCACAGGCAGGAAAGTTATCTTTAATTAGCCACCAGAAAACCAGAAGTGGTTCTGTGGCTCGAAGTGGTAGAGTGCTAGCCTTGAGCAAAAGAACTCAGGGACAGCACCCAGGCCCCTGAGTTCAAGCTCTACAACCAATATCCTCCCCCCACACCCACACACACACAAAAAGAATCACACAAGTAAGAGCTTTTGAGAGGAAATGTCATTCTCACAAGGAATAAAAGTTGATCCTTTCCTTTACTCAGTCATTTAACACAGATGACTACCTAGCTAAGCTAGGTAATAGATATTCAAGCAAATAGCTGAGATCTTTACCCAGTGAAATTTACTTTAATGGGCATAAGCTGAAGAAAGGGTAGGGCTAAATAACAGAAAACCTATAACACTGTCATTTTTATCTTGGGGGCAAAGAGAAGGTGTTATGCACTAAAAGTTTGAAGAGGAAAATTAAAAGCCATTTGTGCCTTATAGGGTTAAGCTGGGTCAAGGAAATTCCCAGGAGCGTGTAGAGGCCCTTTCCCTGATAGGCGGACTCAAGCTTATGACTGCAAAACTTCTCCCAAGCTTCCTACATTGCTTCTCTGATGACTTCATAGCAGTTCGGCAGGCAGCCTGTTTAGCAGCAGGTGCCCTGAAGATCCAGAATAAGTTGGTAAGTAAACAAGAAATGTTCCCTGCTTGACCTGAAGAGGGCATTGCTTTCCTTTTGTGCACAGTACATTTACTATCCTTTGGGGGATCCAGAATGAGAGATCAGAGCCTGGGAGGTAAGGTGGTGATATAGAGTACATCAATTGGTAAAAACCATTTAACTCCCAGCTAGTCTAAGCTTTAAGCTAGAGTTAACTAGCTTCTCATTAATGATCAGGAGCTGATAAGCTTTAGGATAAACCCTAGTTAACAGGGGAAACCCTGAGTGTAGCTTAGCAGTAGGTTCAGGAGGCAGTATAAATTTAGCATGAGCAAGACTGGACATGATCCCAGCACGCATGCACGCACACACACACACACACACACACACACACACACATACACACACACGCACTGGACATGATCCCAGCACACACACACACACACACACACACACTGGACTGGAGACATACCTCTATAGTAGAATGATTACCTAGCAATCACCCTGAATTAGCACACACACATACACACACACACACACACCCCACACACTGGACTAGAGACATAGCTCTATAGTAGAATGATTACCTAGCAATCACCCTGAATTAACACATACACACACACACACACACACACCCCACACACACACTGGACTGGAGACATAGCTCTGTAGTAGAATGATTACCTAGCAATCACCCTGATTTAACCCCCCCAAAAAAGTTCTATGTATGACCATATACCTATAAACTGAAGAACATCCACAGAGAGCAGAAAATTCGGCTCATACCATGTACTGTCTAGTGCATTTGTCACTAGAATTAAGAAAATGTGCCGGGCGCCGGTGGCTCAAGCCTGTAATCCTAGCTACTCAGGAGGCTGAGATCTGAGGATCACGGTTCAAAGCCAGCCTGGGCAGGAAAGACCGTCCGACTCCTATCTTCAGTAAACCACTAGAAAACTGGAAGTGGCACTGCAGCTCAAGAGATAGAGCACTCGCCTTGAGCTGAAGAGCTGAGGGACAGCGCCCAGGCTCAGAATTCAAGCCCCATGACCAAACAAACAAACAAAAAAAGTTATTTTCAGTTGCAGCACTTGACAAGTGGGAAGTCCCTGTTTCTGGTCTATTCTTCAACTTAATATTGCCTTTTGTCTATCCCAGGTACTCGAATGCCTCCTGAAACTGATGCACAGAGATCCGTACTGGAAAATCAAGGCTTTTGCCATTCGAGGTATTTCAGAAGTTATGGCTCAATTTAAGAAAAAAAAAATTCCTTTTCCTATTTTAGTACAGATGATTCCCAGAAATATTCTAGTAAGGGAGTGGAAATCTCTCAGGTCCTTCCTTGAGGTCCGAAAGATTTTCTTCTTTTTAATATTTAGTTGAGGATCCCAAGTCTAAATCTATGCCAAACTTGTTACTCACCTGGGTAAGACAGGCCCAGCCAACAGAATTACGGATGAGTTCCAAGTAGTAACCCATCTTCCTTTCCCTAGAGGTTTTCAACTGTAGCAAAAAGTCAAGACTATATTCAACATCACTAAGAATCTAAAACCCTACTCTCAGATTTCCCTAGTTTCTTTCTAGGACCTTTGGCATTGCTCACTTAATGATATGACCTTCAATAGATTCCTAGCAGGATCAGACCTATGCAACTTGTGAAATAATCATGGCTTTTTGTCCCATCACCCTGACTTAACTATGGTAGGCTTCAAAGTTATCAGTCCAAAATCTCTTCTGTAAATAGGCAAATTAGTTCTTACTCATATCCTGGGCAAGGATGTTATGAAAAATCCTCTTTTCAGAATCTTTTGGAAATAGTATCCCACTTAACCCACGCTTGAACCTTTTTTTCTTTTGTATTTTTGCTGGCACTGAGAGTTGGACTCAGGACTTCATGCTTGCTGGCTGGCTTGTTCCGCTAGCCATTTATCACCCGCGCCATCCCTCCAGCCCCACTTTTTGCTAATTATTTTAGCGATGGAGTCTGGTGGACTTTTCTGTCCAGGCTGGCCTTAAGCCATGATCCTTTGGATCTGAGCCTCCTGAATAGATTATTACAGGAGTGGGCCATCAGCAACCCAGCTTGCTTTTTTTTTTTTTAATGATGGTGCTGAGAATCAAACCCAAGGCTAGGCAAGGGTTTTAACACCAAGCTATATATCCTCAGTCCTCTAAAATACTTTTAAAAATTTTGTAATTAACCCTAAAGTGGTAAGCAATTGTCATCCAAAAGGAAAGAGACTGTTCATAACACTCTTCTTTCTGGATATAGGATATAGTCAAGTCAGGTTTCAGTGAGGTTTCAGTCAGGTTGCCCTCTCACCTTTGCAGCCTTGGGACAGATTGGACAAGTGAGTCCCCAGCTGACAGATCTCCTGCTCTGGGCTATCCACTATGAAGACGCACCAGGAGTACGACTGGAAGCGTGTCGTAGCATTCAAGCCCTCAAACTTCAGGGGGACCAAGTCAGGGATACCTTCCTACATGTACTGCTCCTGGAGAACCATGAGGCTGTTCTCAAGTAAGTGCTAAAAGTCCACTGTAGTTCTTGTGCTGTTATACTGCCTGACTGGGTTTTCTTGGGGGTACTGGGATTTGAACTTATGCTTACTAAGTAGGTACTCTACTACTTGAGCAATGCCCCCTTAGTTATTTCTTTTTAATTACAGTCTTATGCTTTTTGCCCAGACCAGCCTTGGACCAAAACCCTACCAGTTATATACTATCTGAGGTTACAGATATACATCATCACACTGGCTTGTCTGAGATATCTCACTAACTTTGTTGCCTGGGCTAGCCTTGAACCTCTTATCTTTCCAATTTCTGCCTCCCTAATAGCTGAGATTACAGAAATACACTACCATGCCAGGTTCTTAAGTTACTCATATATTCAACTTTTACTAAGAGTCTACTGTGCTGGTACCATATCTTTAACTTGGAGCCTCTCATTCTGCTTCTGAAGTTAACAGCTGGCACTCTACACTTGACCCTTGCCTCCGCTACAGTTATTTTGCTGGCTAATCTGGAAATAAGAGACTCTCAGACTTTTCTGTCTTGGCTGGCTTAAAACCATGATCTCAGATCTGTCTCTTAAGTAGCTAGGATTTTAGGTGTAAACCACTTGTGCTTGGCAACACAGGCTTTAGGTTAAAAAAAAGTACTGGGGTTTGAATTTGGTGCCAGTGACTCATAACTATAATCCTAGCTACTCAGGAGGCTGAGATCTGAGGATCATGGTTTGGAGGCAGCCTGGTCAGCAAAGCCCATGAGACTCTCCAGTAAACTACCAAAAAGCCAAAGTGGAGCTGTATCTCAAGTGGTAGAGCACTGGCCTTGAGCAAAAGAAGCTAAGGGTAATACCCAGGCCCTGCATTCAAGCTCCAAGACCAGATACCTCCACCCCAAAAAGGAGTTGAATTCCACCCACGTCATCCAATAGTTACATGAACCTGGTCAGCACTTAAAACTCTCTAAGCCTATTTAAGTATTAGATGCAAGTTACAGTCTAAGGGGCAGGGAACCTTTTTTCTGGACATGCTTGATCCTCAAAAATTACATTACTAGCTGGGTACCAGTGGCTCATGCCTGTAATCCTAGCTACTCAGGAGGCTGAGGCCTGAGGCTCACAGTTCGAAGCCAGCCTGAGCAGGAAAGTACCCATGACACTTATGTCTCCAATTAACCACTCAAAGTGGCACTGTAGCTCAAATGGTAGAGCACTAGTCTTGAGTACAAAGAGGCTCCAGAACAACACTCAGGCCCTGAGTTCAAGCCCTACAACTGACCAAAAAAAAAAAAAGGAAAGAAAAGAAAAAGGAAAAATTATGTTGTTGCTGGGCTCACACCTGTAATACTAACTATTTAGGAGGCTGAGATCTGAGGATTTCAGTTTGAAACCAACCCAGGCTGGTTTAACCAGCAAAAAGCCAGTAGAAATGTGGTTCAAGTGGTAGAGTACCATCCTTGAGTAGCTAAGGGACAGCACCCAGACCCTGCCTTGGCAGAGTTAGACCAAATGATTTCAGCATGGAGACCAGCCATTCATCAACCTGTTATATTACAGTGCTGTGGTGACAATTAACTGAGAAGACATTTGTTACCCATTATAAAAGTATTCAATAGTTACCTACTAAATGCTTCAAGTAAGTTATTTCCAAACTATACAATACTTGTACAAACTAATTGTGATAACCACTTTACCTTGAGGACTCAGCAAAACTGGATTGGAATTTAGTATTCTTGCCAAATGCCAAGTCCTATATTATCTATCCCACCCCTACATCTTCTCCCATATGTTTTGTTCGTTTTTTGCCAGTCCTGGTGCTTGAACTTGGGGTCTGGGGACTGTCTCTGAGCTTTTTTTGCTCAAGGCTAGCACTCTACCACTTAAGCCACAGCACCACTTCCAGCTTTTTGTTTATGTGGTACTGAGGAATCGAACCCAGGGTTTCATGTATGCTAAGCGAGCACTCTACCACCTAGCCACATTCCCAGGCCTTCCATATGTTTTTTTTTTGAGGACAGGATAGAATAACCTAAGAAGTCTTTCTTGCGCTGGTGGCTCACGCCTGTAATCCTAGCTACTCAGGAGGCTGAGATCTGAGGATCGCGGTTCAAAGCCAGCCCGGGCAGGAGAGACCATGAGACTCCTATCTCCAATTAGAAGTGGCGCTGTAGCTCAAGTGGTTAGAGTGCTCGCCTTGAGCTGAAGAGCTGAGGGACAACGCCCAAGCCCAGAGTTCAAGCCCCACGACCGACAAAAAAAAAAAAAAAAAGGATTAAAGCCGGGTGCTGCTGGCTCACGCCTGTAATCCTAGCTACTCAGGAGGCTGAGATCTGAGGATCGCGGTTCAAAGCCAGCCCGGGCATAAGAGACCGTGAGACTCCTATCTCCAGTAAACCACCAGAAAACCGGAAGTGGCACTGTAGCTCAAGTGGTAGAGCGCTTGCCTTGAGCTGAAGAGCTGAGGGACAGCGCCCAGGCCCAGAGTTCAAGCCCCACGACCGACAAAAAAAAAAAAAAAAAAGAAGTCTTTCTTATTTTTCAGGGAAGTTTATCGGGCAATGACAACACTCAACATAGATAAAGAAGGTCATCAAGAACTGCTTCAGGAAATCAAGAACAAGGTAAGTATAAACTGTTTTTTCTAGAGAATATTCAGGAGCATCAAAGACCCATTTTCTCCTAAGTATGTACATATACTTTCCCTCATCACAGAAATACTCCACAACTTTAAACATAGATATATCATATGAAGATACAAAATTGAGTTATAAAATCCTAGTCACAGAAAGAAAAGGTAAAATTCTAATCGTCCCATTAAGGAGGAATCCTCAAAATCAGAGTTTTTTTTTTTTTGGGGGGGGTCCGGTCATGGGGCCTGAACTCTGGGCCTGGGCGCTGTCCCTCAGCTCTTCAGCTGAAGGCTAGCGCTCTACCACTTGAGCCACAGCGCCACTTCCGGCTTTTTTGTTTTTGCTTACGTGGTGCTGAGGAATCGAACCCAGGGCCTCAGGCATGCAAGGCAAGTGCTTTAACCACTGAAACACCTTCCCAGCCCTGTTTTTTTTTTTTTTGGGGGTCCGGTCATGGGGCCTGAACTCTGGGCCTGGGCGCTGTCCCTCAGCTCTTCAGCTCAAGGCTAGAGCTCTACCACTGGAGCCACAGTGCCACTTCCAGCTTTTTTCTTTTTTCTTATGTGGTGCTGAGGAGTCAAACCCAGGGCCTCATGCATGCAAGACAAGCGCTCTACCACTGAGCCACCTTCCCAGCCCCAGAGGTTGTTTTTAAAGTTTCCTTTCCATCCCATTTTTTTTCTTCATTATGCCTTCACTATGCTTTACAAGGCCAGGCCTGTGGGAAGAATTCAAAATTCAATAAATATACAAGCTTTTTCATAGAAATATGAACTGAGTCACAGTAACATAGAGAGACAAGCAAGGAACAGCTAGAAGAAAGGTTCCTCATCTATGCCTGAAATCCAACTTGTTTTTTCTCTTTTGCATTAGATATTAGAGAGAATTTTCTAAATTTTCCTTCTCCTTCTTAAACTGAGCCCTATTTGCCAAAGGTATAATTTCAATAAGCATGATATAACCAGTTACTTTATTAATGTTTTTATTGCCTAGTACAGTTGTTTTTAACCTCCTTCTTGTCTAATCTAGATTCAAGCGCTAAACCAAAAGGACTTGCTGAACCAGAAAATACTCAAAATGGAGATGGTCGTAGGAAAAATGAAGGAAGAAGCAAAACGTATTTACTCACATCCCAAAGAAGGGAAAAAAACATTAGATTTCCCTACTTTTCTCCAAGATACTTTTAAAGGTAGGTTTCCTAGGTTGTTGACTCCTTTAAAACAACAACAACAACATCTTTTTCAGAATCTAGATGTTTTGGGACTAAGTGGGGAGCCTTGAAGTTAACCCTTCCTTTTCTTAGTTATCTTTTTTCTTCTTCCTCAGCCTTTCTGGTTTTGTTTCCCTCTTGTCTACCAGGTTTTTAAATTCATTTGTGGTTTTGTCTAAGGTACCGCTATTGGATATGATTTAAAAGTTTGCTGAAGAGCTAGAAGTGTGGCTCAAGTAGAACAGATGCCTACTGAGTACAAAGCTCTGATTTCAAACCTTAGTTCTGAAAACAAAACACAAATAAAAAACTTAGGTCAAAAAAGGACATATAGGAAGTGGCACTGTGGCTCAAGTGGTAGAGTGCTTGCCTTGAACTGAATCGCTGAGGGACAGTGCCCAAGCCCAGAGTTCAGTCTTTATAAAAACAAAACAAAAAACTATTGTGTATCTTAAGCAACCCCCAAAAGTACCAGCTTTGTTTTTACAATTAACTAGTACCCTACTACTTGAGCCACAGCATCACTTCTGGCTTTTTTCTGTTTATGTGGTGCTGAGGAATCGAACGCAGTCCTCATGCAAGCACTCTTAACACTAAGCCAACTTTCCAGCCCCTACAACTTTTTTTTTAGGGGGGGAGCTTGAACTCTGGGTATGGTCGCTCTCTCTCAGTAATTCAGCTCAAGGCTAGTGCTCTACCACTTGAGCCACAGCGCCACTTCCTACAATTAACTTTTAAGAATAGTTATCTCTGGAAAGTGAGGTTGGAGGAAAAGTTACCAACATCTACGCTTTATGGTATAAAAATGTATAAACTCTCAGGACATCACCTAAACGATGAGGGTGCAGAAATCAAGTAAAATATACAAACAAAGTTTGTGTGCCCAAGCATAGCATCAGTCACTCAGCCAGCTGCCTACCAGCCACTACCCCAAACCCAGTTCTTCGGGTTCCAAGTCCAGTGTTCTTTCTGGTACACCAGCTCTTTTTCACCAATCACTGATAATATTCACTTGCCAGATTTGGGGAATTTCTTCCAACTGCCAGAAAAAATAAAGAGTGGAAAGTAACTTGAACACCAGCCTTTCCTCGTGGCCTCATTGCTAATTATTTATTAAGGCTAATGACAGCATAACTGGGTGATATGCTGCCCTTTTGGGAGCAGCACCAGCCACTGATTGAGAATTGAGCAGAGCTGGTCGCCGGTGGCTCATGCCTATAATCCTAACAACTCAGGTGGCTGAGATCTGAGGATCACGGTTCAAAGCCAATCCAGGCAGGAAAGTCCATGAAACTCCAATTAACCACCAGGAAACCAGTGGCTCAAGTACTGGAGTGCTCACCTTGAGTTGAGGAGCTCAGAGACAGCACTCAAGACCAGAGTTCAAGCCCCATGACTGACAAAAAAAAAAAAGACCAGAAACAATATATCCTCTAAAGCTGATCCTGTTAGTAGGAAATAACTTTTCTGCAAGTATTGTCCTGTTTGGGATTCAAATAACAAAACTGAAGTGAGTAAATTACCCCCGCACCAATGAGTTATTCTTCTTTGGGGGGGAGGGGGAGGGCTGGGGAGGGTTTACCAAGGAACACAAAGCCTCAAGTATACTAAGAAATTGCTTTACCACTTGTGTCCCAGGCCTCCTTCTTTATTAAGTGAATATGTTTTTGTGTTGTTTTGGTGCCAGTCCTGGGGCTTGAACTCAGGGCCTGGGCACTGTACCTGAGCCTTTTACCACTTGAGCCACAGTTGCACTTCTAGCTGTTTTTTTTTTTTTTTTGGGGGGGGGGTCCGGTCCTGGGGCCTGAACTCTGGGCCTGGGCACTGTCCCTCAGCTCTTCAGCTCAAGGCTAGAGCTCTACCACT